AACTACATGCAGCACAAGTTTTCCGCTTTCATTGCAGGGAGAAGCAGCTAGCGCAGGGTTGTCCCCGAACACCCATAGTCCAAAATCCAGAGCACGTGGGATTTGACAGTCTGTTCTCTTTCTGAAATAAGTTGTCCTCTTGCCAGCTGACCTAGATAATCCTGTAACTCATGCTACAATAGAATTCCAGTAATTTGGGGTTGGGTATTGTATTTAGTTTATTACAGTTGTCCAGCTGATTAACAGTGCATTTTAAAAAACAAGAAAAAACTTAGGAAGCTGCAATTGTAATAGATTCAGGTAGTATTTAACAAATAAAATGCTACTTATGTAGCAGTGTTAATATGATGCTGAGGTATCGATTTGTCAGAACTTTATTTGCACTGGATATCTGATGTATTTGGAGTGCACTTTTTAAAGACATTTGAGAATATCTGATTTTGTTAAATAGTTGCCAACCACTTAAACTCTGCAGATTTTAGAAGAAGTATTTTTTAAAACTTGATAGATTGACAAGCTGTCTTTTTGTTACTAGCAGATGAGACCAAGTTGTTCTCTTGGAACACCTGAAAGCATCCTTCTCTTTAAATGTCAGTAATGGAAAATATTTTTTCGACAGCTGCTTTGTTGATTGGAATACTGAGGGACCTGTTTTCTAAATATTGTGACAATGGTAATATACAAGCAACAGGTCTCTGAATAAATATTATCTAAAAGAGATGTTAGCTCCCAAATGCAGAGGGATATGCAGGAACACTTCTGTGGTGCTTCAGAACTTCTTAGAAAAGCAGCTGCCCACTGTATGCGCTGACACTATCTTAAAATTATTTTCTGTGTCATGCAGAAAGCATTATTTTCATCACGACCAATTGGACTGGGATGAACACAGTTCTGCTGGACGATATGTTAGGAGACGCTGCAAGCCTTTAAAGGTAGGAGACAGCATTTTTATTACGTAGTTAGATTTGCACTTGTGAAAGATGCTTCTCAAACACTTCCTTTTTTTTCTTTCAGGAATTCATGCATTGCCAAGACACAGATCACCAAAGTCTGTTTGACCTTGTCCGCAGAATGCTGGAATATGATCCAGCCAAAAGAATTACTCTTGATGAAGCCTTGCAGCATCCTTTTTTTGAACCAATAAATAAATAATTAAATTCAGAGATCTTTTATGCTTCTTCAAGGAGATTTCCTAGACTGTGTCAGTCAACAGAGGTTGCATGAAACTTTTGTAAACTTTAAATTATTTTGTACAGTTAAGTCTGTAAATACTTACATATGTTTTGTATAACTGTTATGTTTACCTTGTTGAACAGTTGTAGTCTTATGGGTATCAAAGTGAAAAATAAAAGTAATTTTCACTTTTGAAAATTGTTTTCTCTTTGAAACTGTACCTCTGCTTTTGCAGATGGGGCTAGTTAAGCATTGACATAAGGTGAGGAGGCTGTGGGCTAGCTGAATGAGTTTTGAAAACATTGTTTTCAACTGACTTCCTTTTATTAGTCATAAAGAAAAGATTTGAAGGGCTAAGGCTACCCAATCATGCTGTCTAGTACTTTGTGATAGCATTCTGAAACATGGTTGAAGACATTGAGTATTCTAAGTAAGTATCTCTTGTGAGTCACCTTTTTTCCCAGGTTCTCTATTAAACGGCATGCATTGTGCTCTGGCTGGGTAATTAGTCTCTGGAAACTTGTCTCATGCTTCAGCGTGAAGTATAGGTAATTTTTTTGTAAGGTCTGAAAAGTAACGTTTCATGGTTTTGATACTGTTTTGATTCATTGAAGATAAGGATTTTCATGATAACTTTCGGAAGGATTGTACTGCCTCTGGAGACAAATGCAGAGAAATACTGTATGCCACAGAACTGTGGCATATTTAAGCCCTTCTCTTGCAATAGTAACAGGATAATTCTGAAGTCTTCAAATACCTATTTCTGTGGAGCTTGAGCTCTAATTACTGATAAGTAGCCTTGGCACCTGAGAAACGCTGTCATCAGACTGAGGTAGGAAGGAGGAGGACAGGTTCTCCGTCGTGACTCCTGAACTCTGGTGCTGAGCTGAGAAGAAAATGGCACTGCTTTTAATGCACTTTAGTTTTTGCTCTTCCATGTTTAAGTTGATGTTTCCTTGCTCTTGTTCACTGTGCTCTTAATCTGTTTGACACAGCGGGTGGTTTGCTGAGTGGGAGGAAGGGAAGCTTCCATGGGGGGGTTCATTCAGGCTCTCTGTCAGTGTAGATGCAATAAGCAAGTTTTGGCCATTTATTTCAGTCCTGACTTTACCATGCATGCCTTAAGGAAGGAAACGGTAAATTGTTTCAGCTCCACGGGAGCCTGGCTGCAGGTTTTGTGCTTGCTGAGTAAGTCCTAATGCACAGGAAGATTTTTAAACTGATGTCCTTGTTCCACTGATGTGGAGGAGGCTTCATTTGCAAGAGGCTCTAGACGTGCATATCTCTGGCCGGGGGATAGAGTATAGCTGGGACAGGCTTTGAAAGCTTATCTTCTGTCACCAGTGCCACCTCCTGTGCTTGATTAGATCTCATAATAGCCACCCCCTTTCCTGGCATGGTGATGGTCACATCATTGTTTCTTCTCTGCATGACAGGAGGTGTAACAGTCCGTGCCATCCAGGTCCACTTGGTAGGACCGAGGAGGATGGGAGTGAATTCCTTCCCTTGCTTCTCCCCATGGTACTTTCATCCCACACCTTCAGAGGCAAAGCAAGGGCTTGGCTGGGTGTGTCAGCTAAGCAATGCAAATCAAAGGCAGATGGGAAAAAAGTTTATGTGCTGCTGTAACTATATAAAACAGTACTATCAAAATTAGGGGAAGATTGTGTACTCTTGCTTAAGGAGTACGTTAGCCTTTGTTAATGTAGTTACTAAAATACATTGTACTTGCTAAAGGAGATATATGCTAGGGGAAAAAAAAAATACATGTATTTAAAAGCCTGTTTAAATTCACTTTCCTTCTCCCAGTAAAAAGAAAAGAAAATGCACTATGAAGGTTAATATGGCATCTGCAGGGGGTTGCCGAGTAGTTTTGCAGGCCTCCCTGCATGTATAAAAGAAGTTGTAGTTTGAAGCAGCACGTGTCCAACATCCCCGGGCTCCCCAGTGCCGCTGGCAGGAGCGGGGGCCAGGGGCTCTGTCTTCAGTGTCTCTGAGTCCACCTCTGCCCAGGGCTGCCCTCAGGGCTTTGGTCTTCACCAGGGAACAGATTTTTGCACACGTGAATCCCACACTGTCTTACACACATTAGTACATACATGTAAGCAGGGTGGTTTGGCATCTTTATGTGTTTGGATCAAGCTAATGCTAGCTGCCTGTAGCTGCTGGTAAATGACTGTAAGTCATTCTCTTCTTTCTCTGCACTTCAGATTTTTAGCTGTTGTACCTTAAAAATATAGGCTATAAATCTGTGCATGGTTCAGCTGGGCAGACCAAGGGTCTGTGTTTCTAGAACAGCTCAGTTGTACATTTTAACTAAACATGGATGATAGGGCAAAATAAAGCTGTCTCAAGTGCACGGAGCATACGAGATCCAGAACTTCAGAAGCTGAGCAGGGTGGGGGAAGAGTTGAGCTGGGGCTTCAACTTCACAGGAAAGGGGGTTGGGAGTTTTGGGGCAGGGGGCTCAGCTGCCACAGTGGCAATGGGTCCTTCCTTCTGTCCTGTGCATCTGGGTTGTAAGGAGGGCTCGGGGTCCTCTCCGTGTGTTTTTAGACAAGGTGCTTTGCACCCTAGAAGCTCCCCCCACCGTTCTGGTACTGTGCGCCTGCAATTGGTCTCCTAGAGCTTGTACACAAAGTCTTGTAGAAAGGAGAGGGGGAGAAGGTAAGGAAGAGGTTGCTTACAAAAACCTGGAGTTTTCTTTGTATATTCAGGTCTGTGAAGGAGAGCAGGAAAGTGTTGTGAGAGTTGTCCAGCAAACTCATTTGGAAATAGTGGCTACAAAAAAGCAGTGTGTATACCCAGCGTGGCAGTCTAGCTTTGTCCGTGTGTTTTGTTAACACCTGTACTGACACTGCTCCTGGTAGCATTTTCCACCTCTGTCCTGGGCTTCACTCATCTATTCTAGACGTAAGAATTACTCCTAGAAGGGCAGGGTCAGTGGCCAGGAGGCAGAGTACGTTTGTGTACTATGTGCTTAGAGTCTAGGCAGGCATTAAGATATCTGAGGATGTTTTATAGGTGCGTTAAGAGTTGATGTGATGCAGTCTGTAACAGCGAGGAAAAGGCAAGGATGTTTGGCAAAGTCTGGGGGTACTTAGTGCTTCTGTCTGCACATAGTTCCTCTCACTCAAAGGCTCCCTCAATCAGACGGGGCACCTGACCGTGATAAAAGCAGTGTCTCACAACCAACGGTGGAAGATCGCTGGCTTTGGCAGAAACGGCCTCGTCCCTAAAGCAGGTCACAGTCCCGAGAGGGGCTGTAGCACGGCAAGAACAAAAACCCCTACGGGTGCGATCTTACGGGTTGTGCGAGGAGAGCGCGGTTCCCACGCCGAGCCCCGGGGAGCGCGGCCGCAGCCGGGTCTCCGCTGCCCCGGTTGGGGGGGACCGGGACCGACCCCTGCCCCCCGGCCCCGGTCCCGCTGGAGGGCGCCCGCTCCGCGCCCGCGGCCGCCACCGCCTCGGCGCTTCCCTGCGCGGCTGCCGCCCGCCTTTTCGGAGCTCCCCGCGCCCCGCGGCGCCTCTCGCTCAGCCCCGCACCGCCCGGGGCCGCCCCGGGGCACCGCCGGGACCCCGGGAAAAGGGGGGGTTGGGGGGGAGGGCGGGCAGTGGGGGGTGGGATCTGCTCCGCGTAATCCCCCCCCCCCCCCCTCCATGGGGGGGGGGGGGGGGGGGGCGGCGGGCCCGCGTTCGGAGCATCCCCCCCATCCCCAGCGCGGGGGAGGTGGCGGGGGGAGCCGCCACCCCACCCCCCCACCCCCCTTCCCCGCTTCCTCCGTTTAAGACCCGGGCTGGCGGGGCGAACGGAGGAGAGCGGCCGCTCCGCAGCTGCCGGCCCCACTTCCGCGGCGGGGCGCGCAGCGCACAGGGCGGGCGCTGGATGCGCCGCCGGGGGGAGGCGGGCGGCAGGCGAGGGGGACCCCGCGGAGCGGCGCGGAGCTCGGCGCGATGAGCGCGGGCAGCGGAGCCGGCGCGGCGGCGGGCACCGCCACCTCCGCGCTCTGCCTGCTCCTCTCGCTGACCGCCGTGGCCGTCTGCCTGCTGCTGGGCGCCAAGACGGCCGAGCTGCAGGGCCGGCTGGCCGCGCTGGAGGAGCGGGGCTCCGCCGGCCCCGGGCCGCTGCTGGACGCGCTGCAGCCACGCGTGGAGCAGCTCTTCCGCGAGGTGAGTGGCGGGGCGGCCCACGGAGGGGGGTAGGGGGGGCGCGCAGGACCGGCGGCAGCGGAGCGAGGACTCTGGGGAGGGCGCTTCGGCCCCGCTCCTTCTGTCACCGGCTCCTCTGCCCCTCTGGAAAAACTTCCTCCCTTTTCCCCAAACTTGCCCCCTTTTTGCTGTGCTTTTCGATTTGCGGCGCTTGCGAACTCTTCCCGCTCCCGCGGGGCGGGCTGTGGGGCGAGGCGCGGCAGAGCCCGGCTGATTTAGAAGAGAAAATGCCCCAGGTGGAAAGGCGAGCAGTCTGGTCCTTGCGAACACGCGGCTTTTTCCCTCGCTCTATTCACTGGCAAAGGTAATCCGAGTACTTAAATACTATTTATCTCTGGATGTAATGGACGATAATTTCCCTGTTATAAATTTATGAACATGATCCCTGTTATCTGGACTATCACGGAGTATCGTGTGGTCCAGCAGTGCTGAACTGATTTATGGTGAGTAGAGAAGACTAGCAACTAGTTACTTTGCTTTCAATGCCAGGGGTTTCTGAAATTATTCAGTCAAGATTTCTATGCTGAAAGATTTGTCCTACTTGGAGAACAATTATCCACACTGATGCTCTTCTCCACAGCTAAACCGAATCTCTGGGAGAAGTTACACTTGATACCAGGGTTATATTTCTTCCCCAGACTCTGGTGGTTAGGTTTGGGGCTTTTTACAGGCAAGGAGGGTGAGGAGGGCTCCCATCACTCATAGGAGACACTTGAAGGTCCCACAGTTGGTTTGCTGGATTTGTGTAAATAATAAAGTGCAGCAAGATTCAACTGGGCTTACGGGGCTGCTGCAGGACGCTCCTGAGTGATCGATTCTGACATCTGGGGAAGGTTTTACACTGGGATTTTATTAATGGCCTGACTGGGGTGCAAAACCACGGTGCTGCATTAAAATCGTTACAGCCACGAAGCCCCAAGCGTGCACAAATGTCATTGTGTGCGGTGCCTTCCAGCCGTGAGCAGCCCCGGGGACACGAGGGGGGATGGAGGCAGCGCTGGGGGGGACGGTGAGACAGTTCCTCGTGCTGCGTGTCCGCATCGGAGTTACGGCGAGGATTCCGCTGGCACCGCCGCAGCGTGGCCGTTCTCCTGGAAACTGGGTTGCATTGACGTGCCTCGATAAAAGGGAAATGTTAAAAAATATTTTTTGGTGAAAACCCTGAATACCAGACCAGAGGGGTGCCTGCGAGGCGTAATCACAAAATCTAGTTAATGTCTTTTCTCCAGGCAGGAATTAGCCTGCCAGTCGTGGCAGTGGTTCTGTTCCAATTACTCCAATAAATGTGCTTAGCAATGGGAATGGCTTCTGTGGCACTGCCTAAGATCATGTGCAACCTCTTGCTGAGATTTAGTTAAGTGTGGAAAGCTTGTTTTGTACTGGGAATGCTCAGATGGAGATTGTACAGGGGAAAATAAGGCAAAACCACATAATTGTGTCTCTAATGCAAGAGTGAGCTTGTTGAAACGTTTAGTATGACCAAACTTTGGTCAATACTGAAAGCAAATTTTGAAACGAGTAACAGATTTAAGGAATGCATGGTAGTGATTGTGATATCTATTAATAGTAATTTTAAATGAACTTATTTATTTACGTTAAGGTTTCAGAAAGTGTCTCTTTCTTGACCAAACTCCATTACATAAGACCACTTGCTTGTCGGGCAACTTCTGTCCTTTCTGTGCTTGAGAGTTTCTGGAGAGTGAGAGAGTATTTCCATCATCATGAACATCAACTGATGCCTGGGGTCAGTTTTTTTTTGTTAAAATTCTGGGTTGGTCCTCCTTTGAAGTTTACCACAATATTTCAGAAGTGAAACCAAAGCTCCATACGCTCCCTGTGCATGACCCTGTGCATACTTTGTTCTCTGTCGCTGCCCAAAATGCATTACTCCATGTACCAATCCAGGGGGTTTGCTGGTGTAATTTACGGCAGAGCTGCCTATAAAGAGCAGCAAATACAACACCAACAAGCTGGCTCTGTTCCTTTTACTGTTGTTTAAATGTTTGGCAAGTAAAAGAGGATAGGAAATAATAAAGGCAGGGTGAGTGTGTAGTTAAGGCAATGAAAGCCAATTTGGACAACTAGGATTTAGTTTCTGGCCCTGTGACAGGCATCCGTCTGACTTAGGAGAAATTGCTGATTTTTAGTATGGCGGGACCTTGCCCTTGCCTTGGCTGTTCCCTCAGCGGGACGTGCTGCAGGGTCCTGCTCTGATGCCCTCACAAACATTTATAACAGCTTGGTCTGAGCGCGGCAGCATCTCTACTTGCTCTACGTCAAACCCCCCAATTTGAAGCGTGTAGTTTTCATACCAGAGGGAAAATGTTAACGGGGGGATTATAGAAGCATCCAGTTGTTGTAAACAAAGCTGGACCATTTTGTTCACAAAGGATTTATTGTCTGCGGCAGGCAGAGAGTGTCCCGATTAATCAGTTTCATGACAAGAACAATTCAGTGGGAGAACAGAGGACTCGCTCCAGGATTCAGATCTCCTCTGCTATTCCCAGTGATGCCTGCTGAACTAAGAGGATGGAAGAGCTTATTTTATTTTAATTTCCTCGAGCATCTTCATCATCCAAATTGCTTTAAAAATAAACAGCTAAAAATTGAGTGACTTTCTAACATTTAGATTGCAAGTGGCTGTCAGGAAAGTCCCTTCAGATACTTTCCTGCCACTTTTTCTCAAGGAAAGCATATGTTTTGCAGAAGGCAGCTGCATCACTCTGGTATTTATATTTCCCTTAGGACAACTTCTCTGTCAGGTGCTATGAAACCATGTTGATACTTTCAGGACCTCTTCGCATCACATCCAAGCAGCTAGAGAGGAATGCATAGGGTTTCAACAACAGAAAAAACTACTTAATCCCCAGAATAAAAGGAAAATAACCTCATTCACAGGTAGCTTAATTCTTGAATAGTCTACAGTGTTCAAATATTTGAACAGAGACTGGGTCATCAGCTGTATAAAACTGAAGTCTGAATACCCTGAATTCAGGAAGTACTTTGAATTTTCTCTTTGAAATGTGGGGACTCCAGTTATCAGATTATTGGTTTCTCTCTTGATAATAGTTTAGGTGAGACAGGGAGGGCATTCCTGGAGGACTGAGAGCAACAATTGTGGGTGGAGATGTTCCCACCCTTGCTGGGCTGCCCCAGCCACGACACGCTATGCTTGAGCTAATACAACTTACCTGTCATCAGGGCTTATTAACTTGGGCTTGGCAGTGTCCTAAATGCAGGCACGAACATTTTGGTTGGCTTTGAGAGCAGGCAGAGTGCGCTCACATCTGCCTGCAATATGCCACGTAGACATTGCTTTAGTTTTGTGATTTGTTAACGTGTTCTAGTTGACCCGCTGGTAAGTTTTTCACCCTGGAGATGGAAACACTGGGCTTTGGGAGGACCTGAGGGTGGATGAGCAGCCGGGTCTCACTGGCAGTGCCCACCCCACTGTCCTTCACCTCCTCATCCCTCTCCTAAAGAAACCTGCAATACTCCACGTAGCATGAATTTTAAGTCCAAAATCAGCCAAATCAGGTCACATCTGTTGTGCAAATATCCCCCTGCTGTGTAAACTCCAGCTTTGTTGTGGGCTGCAGTGGGGCTTTCCCCCGGGCGTTTGCCCCACTGGCGGGGCCGGTGTGGGGCTGCCGGGGCGATGCTGACACCTGAACACAGTGTAATAACTGCTGACTTGTAACAACTGACTTGTAATAACTGCTCAGGATGAGCCCAGCCCATGGTGCTCAGCTCCAGGGACTTTGGGGATGTGGAGAAGGAATCCCTGCCTGCCCCGTGCAAGGGTTGTCGACTGGCTGTTTGCTAAGAAACATTTCGTATTTTGTGAGCTACTATAGCATGGGGGATTATCCAGAGAGGCTGAACGGAAGGAGATGAAACTATGACCTCTCACTAGACGGAAGCGTGTTGGGTGGTTTGGCTGTTGGCATGCACATGCAGTCCGCAGTTAGAGGTAATGTGTTCTCTAAATGGCTATTTTTATTCCTCCTCCAAACAGAAACTGGGTGAAGGACTAGCAAAGCTGCGGACGGTGAGAGAGGCTCCGTCAGACTGCATGTGCCCCCCAGGTAGGTGCAATCGCAGCGGCACGGCCAACGCCAGACAGCCCGGGAGCTGCCTGCTCGCTGGACCAACGCCACTGAGCTGCTCCTCTCCTATTTTATATACTCCTCTGTATCAAGGAAAATGCGTTAAGAAGTGTTTTTTTCCAAGCTGAAGCACTCTGTTGTGCTTGAGACTGTTAACTTCTTCCATTGCCTTGCTTTGGCCTGGTTACAGATAAAGGAGTTTGAGGTTTGGACAAAAGCGATGTTTGGCTATAAGAATAAAAGAGTGAATAGCTTTACTCGGTTGTGAGCCCTGGGTGTTGGGCCAAAACAATTTAGAAGTAGTAGAAAATCACTGGGGCTTAATGCAAGTGTGATAATTAAAAGCTGCAGCCTCTCTGCCTTTTAGGAGGGTAGCAACTTCTCCGGCACTGCCTTGCTGTATGAAAGCTGTCACTGATTGTTTAAATTTCCTCCCAGAGTTTAATGAACTTCTTAAACTGTCAAAACTTCCTGTTCTGCTGTGGAAGTGCATGCTCCTTGGAAACAATAAGCAGCTTAGATTAGTTTGTGAAGGAATCTCATTTACAGAAACGCTCCATGAAGTGCTCTGCTGTCATACTGAACGGCATGAATGACTTTGGGCTGAGGCACTTCAAGCCTTTTCTTTTTTTTTTTCTTTTTTTTTTTTTTCCTTTTCACATAAGTAGCGAAGATGGGTGAAAGATGTGCAGTGCTTTGATGGGGGAGAGTGCACAGGCGTGTTACAAAGCCTTGCAAGCAGCCAATAGTTCAATTCTGGGTTTAAAGACAAAAATACTCCCTTAAGTGCTATATGTAGACGCATAATAGCCAAATGAGCAGTCTCAATTTTTCCTGCCATCCTGGATATGAATCCTGCCAGAACACACAGCATTAGTCCATACTCATAGGATGAAAAAGATGGAGTTTTTCTCCATAAGATTATATGTAATAACCTCAGAAACATTTCAGTAACCATGCTTTAAAATGTGCTGCTGCAGTTGTACTCGCCGTTTTTTTACTGGAAGGCTCCTACAGGCATCCTGTATGCCTCGCTGCCTGTAACCAAACCCTATCAGCTGAGACACAAATCATGCTTATTTTCAGCTCTTTGGACACTGGTGGTCAAATTAATTTTCTCCCTTCTGATGCACAGACCCAACCAAGTTCGTCAGCCTCACGGGGCTCTGTGGGCTGCATCTTGCTCTGGTCTGTGCAACCGGGGCACTACTGGTGCACTTGAAGTGGTCGAGAGGCTTTTCCCTTGCTCTGCAGAAAGCAATTGGGATTGAAGAGGCTCTTTTGTGACCAGGAGAGTCCCAATTCTGTTCCGGGTCAGTGGGTTTGCTGGTTGCTGCCTTTGAGAGATGGGGGGGGAGAAAGGAGGGGGAAGATTTTCCCACGTGTTGCTGAAATACTTGTTACAGTCATTAGTAATGAATGTCAAAGTAATTTGTGAGCTGAAGGAAGGAAAAGTGATTTCCTGGTGGGTAGGACATGTTATGGCATTGGTGGCTGCTCCTGGCTACCACCGTTGGGGAGCTGAGCACTGTGCTAAGGCGAGGATGTGCTGCCGAGCTGTCGTGAAGCCTTTCAGCTATTTTTGAGTAAATCAAAGGGATCTTTATATGTGTTTCTTTTTTTTTTTTTTTTTTTTTTTTTTTTCCCTCTTTCTCCCAAAGAAGGCTGAATTGCCTTCTGGTTTGTAGTTAAAAAGTTTGGTCCGGAAACATCCTGAAAGCTTGTGGCCTTCGCTGACATTTGCTGCAGAGCTATGCCAGGTTGCAAACTAACAGCTAAGCTTCAATTCTCCTCCACTCACCAAAAAAAATCCCCTGGGGAAAAGAAAATGCCCCCCCCCCATGGAAGGGATGGGGAGATGGAGAGATCCTGCCAGCCCTGCCCATAGGCAGGAGGAGGCAGGGAGCATGGCTGGCGTTCCCAGGGGAAGCTGGAAGCTGGTGGGTATCCTAAATGCCTGGGCTGGGGGGCTTTCCTCCCCCAGAAAGCCTGCTAAGCTTAAGCAGACTTCCTTATCGCTGGAATTAAAGCAAACCCAGCAAAGAGCTGTCGAGGATGGTGGTGTCTGCATCAAGAAGCCAGTGTGGTCCCTCCCTTGGGGGCTCTTTGGGCAAAGGGGGACTTGCAGATCCACAGGCAGTGGCCAGAGCAAACTGTCTGAGCTTGCCTTGTGAGTTGGGCTTGTGTTAAACAAGACCCTTTTTTCCTTGAAGTGAGTCAATTTAGGTTTTACTGGGAGCTTGAGGAAGTAGGGGTTGTTTTTAGGGGACGGCTAAAATTTGATAATTTGATAAAATGGACTTGCTACACCTTTAAGGCAGTTTGGGACAAGATGACTATGATCCACTTAAAAGTTAAATGGGACTCAAGTTATTTTGACTACAGCAAAGCCCTAAATCAGTGTTTGTAAAACACACAAGCAAAACAAATACCACCCCTTCCCCAAATATTCCCTCCAAACCCCACCCACCCACAAAAAATCCCCCCAAACTGACCCATTTTGTTCTTTGTGCTCTGCATTAAATCACCTATTTAGCTATAGGGCTCAAGTGGGTCATTATAAAACAACATTGACTTCTAAATGGAACACTTGGGGCTTTTGGGGGCAGGCAGGGCTGTGGAGAGCTGCTGTGGAGCCGGCCAAAGAGTGGTGGCGGGCAGGGGGGGCCCAGCCATTTCGCCAGGGCCACGGAGACATCCCAATTGCCAAGAAAAATAATATTTTTTTTTTTAAAAGCTTAAAAAATTGTTGCTCTGGATCTGACACTGGGGATGCTGCAAAAAGGTGTCGCCGTAGTTGTTCTCAGCATCTGTGTGCTGCTTTGAGTTGTTGAGTTGTTTTGCTTCATTTACTCAACCAAAGTGATGGGGGAGATGATGACAACAACTTCGTGTTACTTCGGTTCCTTCGTGGTTTGGACAGTTCTGTGGCTGAGGGAGAGGAAAGCGTCCTTGGGGGTTGGGGGCAGCTGGACCATGTGTGGGTCAGGCTCTGAAGTGCCGTGACGGGGTAGGTTGGTGACCCTGCTCCGGCGAGGACGCGGCCTTTTGGCCCCTCCAGCTATGTGGGACGGGGCTGCAGCGGTTGCGTGCTGCTGGCACCGGGCAGGCCCAGGACAGGCTGTCCCCATATGTTGGCTCGCTGTGAAACAGCAGCTCAATATTTTTATTATTGTCATTCCCCAAGCCGGGCCTGCAATATTTTGTAGAGAGGCCCCTAATCCCCCTTATGTTCAACCTCTTTCTCTGGTGGGATCCTCACACAGCCTTCAGTGCAAGATAAAGTCCAGCAGGTGCAGGAACACTTGTTTATATGGCATTTTGGACAGCCTTCAGCTGATGAGCACTTGGAGGTAGGTTGAAAGCAAGACTAAAACTTCACACTTGCAAACACTTTGTTTTTCAGTTGTGTGGCCTCTGGCTGCCTTTCTACTTTTTTTTTTTTAAGGAGTCTTTTATTTTCCCCCCCTGTATTTTTAAGCACAGTCTTTTGAAACCTGAGGTGCAAAAGGCTCTCATTAAATACAGTATTTGTCATTCAAGAAGTCTTCAGGGTCTGTGAGAAGGTCCCTCAAGTGCTGGAGGTGCTACATGCACCGTGCTAGAGCCTGAGAGCAAATGCTTCCTCTTAAATCCAGTAAGAAAACGCTTAAAACACGCCCCAGTGCACAGAAAATGCCCTGCCCAGCAGCTGGTCCTCGCTATATTGCAGACAGAGTGTGTGAAAATCTCCAGCTCTTTTGGCTGCTCTTGCACTGTGTATTTCAACGTATGCATTGTGTTTTCATGTGCCTTTTTATTTAACAGTACCTCCGGAGCCTTAACTCCAAGTTTCCCGGCTGCTGGATGATGCATATCCCTGTCTTCATCTTGAATTCACACTGAGACAGTGTCATATGCATTTGAACGTATTTATATACTACTAAACAGTGTTAAATGTTCAGTGTAGTAATCTGATGTTCCAGTTAATATGTGACAAATATTTCCCAATAATGGCTTGGCAGCAGGAGGAGCGGAGTGGTACTCCAGCCTGCAGGACAGCGGATTGCTCCATTGCTCGGCAATTCAAACCATGTGTACGTGGGGAAGCTGATCATTTAAAATCCTCCCTACCTCTGCAGACTCAGCAACTCCAGAGGTTCTCTTGCTGTGTTTATTATTATTTATACAATTTTTTATTATTTTTATTTTTATTTTTTTCTTACCCTAGCTTTATACACAGGGATCAGCTTTCTCCAGCTTGCTGTGGAAGTTTGGCACCGTACTTTCTGTGGTTCCCAGCAACTTGAAATATCTACCTAATTTTTACTGGTGTAAATGTTGTCTTCAAGTGTCACTCGCTATCTGCCTTCTCCCCACGTTGTCTCCCCAGGTAATTAGCACAACAGAATTTCCCTAATTGCTGGAGATCAAGGAGGAGAGGGCTCTGCTTGCTTTGTAGTCCTGACAAATGGCAGATGTTTTCCAGCAGGCCAAATGGGATGCACTGAGCTCTGGTAATGTCGGCTCTTTGTTTCACACTCTTGTGTGATAGCAGATATCATTGCCTTCTTTTTACATCTTCAGTATCTGGGTCTGTAGTGCTGCATTTCTGAGTCATGAATCCTTCAGGATATTTAAATAGATATGGAAAAATATCAAAGAAAAGCAAGTATTTATTTTTTAAATTAGTGGTGATCTCTGCTTTTCTGAGTTCCTTTGCATCTACTGATCTTAAACATCTGAATTATTCCTTGCTGTAACCTCAAGAGACACTTTTCTGCCTACTGAAACCATTAAAACTAAGTCTTTTTTTGTAATTTCTATGATTAAGAATCAGACAAAGAGCTTTACAACATTTTCAAGTTTTAAAATGTTTTCTAAATCCTTCTTGCCTAGGTTTCCCATACCCTGCCAGTCACTTCGCTTCAGCAGGGTTTACTTTCTTGGCCTGCAGGAGGTTCAGACATTATAATTACAGGATTAATATAAACAGGATT